AAGAATGATATCTATGCCGTCCAGTTGTCGGAACTAACGTTAATTTCAAAACGTGATCTTCAGCCTTTCACTATGCCTCTGGTGTCATTCTAGCAAAGGCTTCGTTGATCAGTTCAGTTTATTCCTCAGAAAGACCCACCAACGTTGGTATATAAGAAAAAGTATAACATATATTCATAATATAATAAAAATATCAATATCAAGATGACAGGAGAATTTGCAAATATCATATAGGGATCAAAGGTTACAATGAAATATGATAGAAATGAAGTAACAAGAATCTCATACACGTTTTCTAACAGCTTCAACATTTCTAAAGTTGGTATTGATGAAGTTTTCTCTAATGCTGGATAAACATTGTTTTGAATTTATACATGTCAGGCCATTCAGAGAGATCTTTAGGTATGTACATAGACCGCCACTAGGGGAAGTGCTTTACATCTAAACTGGTAATGAAAATCGTCACCAACCGCTTGAGAACTACATAAATTCCACAAACGTTCCACTCTTGGGATATCAGACCAGCGTCCAGTTTCAATTGGTAAGTCATGGTTTGTGGTTCTAAATTGTAAGATTGGGTGATCAACTTTTAGGCAGATAAAGATATTTTTCAAGGGTTATATTTTCTTTAAACATTTTATAGCACACACCTTTAGAAGTCTCAGCAATGGAACTGTGATCAACCCTTGATATATGAGAGGTTGAGTGTTGTATTATATCTTGCAAAGAACACTTTACAGTTAGCCTATATATCCTCACAATGTCTGACTGGCAAACATATGACAAGGTGGCAGTGTTGTGCCACCAGGACATCTGTCGTATACTTCACTGGCTTCTTATTCAGGAGAATTTTCTCCATGAGTTGAACTTTCGGTTTCCGATGGTCTGAAGTCGACATTGCAAGATGTCAGATATTCCTGCATGGTCGCCTTCAGACTATTCATGGTTGGCGCGACAGTATCCGGTCTATGTCTATGAACACATCACAATTCATTTCCTTATGATAATCACCAGTTTTGCTTTTCGCCTTAAAACTAGCTCACGTCCACCATTAAGCACCAGATCACGGGTTCCAGTGTGCAAAGCAGTGACACGATTACCTTTACCTGATGGTACCATGGGTGCTCTTCATCCATCTGACGGTAGCCACATGTAGTTAGAGGAATGATTCTTTTTCACCCAGGTTCCGTCACGGTAAATGGTCTGGAATACCAGACTCCGATAGTCATGAAAGGTGCGGAGATAAAGTGACCTCATAGACAGGATGGAATATACTTGCAGTGTATCGAAATCACATCTCGTTGAGAGCAATAATTAATGTCGTCCGGGAAACATTAATTGTGATTTTAATTTCCTCCCGAATTCTTCACCAAGTCGGGGGTACCTTTTGCTGATTAAGCCTGTACACTGTACGCCTAAGAACCCCTGTATCAAAGCTGTCTAACATCCGTTTACGTCCCGTTTTTGTTTAAGAGACGACCCCTACATACTGTAGGCTTGTTGGTATGAAAGCCCCAGAGCTTGGGCAGATCGGTTATAAACCCGATCTAAACTAATAAATGTTTTTCCTCATTTCCTACTACAGACCCCATGTCGTCTACCATGGCTATGGCTATGCAAGTGTAATGCAACATGCGTCATGGGAGGGACAGTGTTGACAAAACAAAGGCAGCGTCATTTTGTTATACCTAAGATGCACATCTAGAATTTTCCCATAATGACTTGGTTTTTTTGTGTGAATTAGATGTTTTATAAAGGCAATGTTATTATTATTATTATCATCATCATCTTCTTCTTCATCATCATCATCATCATCATCATCATCATCATCATTATTATTATTATTATTTACAGATTAAAATTTTAAAATGCCGCAAAGAGGGTTTTGGTGATCCTGGCACAGTCAGGCTGGTCAGGTTCATCATCAGCCCAGGGCCCTTGCCCCCTCTACACGCATCCCAGACAGCGAATGCATTATCTGCATCTGCATTACCCAGATTGTCAGAAGGGCTGTGTTACTGGTAGCAAACCCGGGTACTCTCCCAATGTCAGTCAACAGATTGGGAGGTACCAAACCCGAGGCACCGAGAACAATGGGGGAGTCGGACAACTTGGTACTTGGGATGCAAGCGTGACATTTCTAAAGTGAGATCAGCATATTTGACATATTTTTTCCTGAATCTTGTCAATCACGTTAGTGTCAAAGGGGACAGAAAATTCAATAGCATAAACGATTTCATTGGATTTATCAAAAAGGACAAGAACAGGTTTGTTGGCCTGGATACGTCTCAGGGTGTAAATGGGCCTATTCCAAAGAATTTTGTATTTATCATTTTCCATGACGCCCTCTACATATTCCGGGTCGTACCACGGGTGTCAAAACCACAAGCATGGCGAGGACGGTAATAAAATGATCGAGCTACACCATCATGTTGTTTAAATTGTTTAAGATACCGTGTTTGTGCCAAAGCTGGGCATCCACTGACAATGTGTTGGACAGTCTTATTAAAGTCATTACACAATCTACATTTCATATTTACATTTTGATGCAAAATCACACATTGACGGGTTCGAGTGGGAAGTGACTGATCCTAAGCAGCAAACAGAAAGCCTTCTGTTTCTCTTTTCAGGCCAGACGACTTCATCCAAGTGAAGGACTCTGCAGGATTGCTGATCTTCTCAACACACTGCACATAAACTCGATGCAGCGGTCGTTCAGATAGCCTCTCCTTTAAAAACTGAGTCAGGGCCGACTTGATATGGCACTTCGCTTGGTTGACACTCATTTCTGTACCGTCCAGCAGTACAGAACCATCAACAAAATCAACACCGACATTGAGATTATATCCCACATCCTTGGCTCGTTTTAGAAAACTTGGGAATGCCTTGTTTTCATCATGTCTTGACATGCTTCACAGGACTGCCCTCTCTGACCTTGCTGTTTTCATTCGAATTTTCCTCCTGTAAAATTGTCGATGGGACACCTTGTGACTGAAATACTTCAAACCAGAGGTAGGTGGATTGGTAGTTACTCGATATTATAACAGCAACTTAACGGGCAAAAAGCCTTTTCATCATTGGTATCTATTTTTACGAATTTTTCAGCAAAACCACAAGATCGGATGTCGAATTTAATTTGTTATTAATCGGTATTTTCTTTAAAAAGTGATCCCTTAAACTCCTGATTGCAGAGAATAAGGTCAAAATAAAATGAAAGAAAAACTGGTTTGGGAATGACCAGTAAAATGGTTAATTCCAGTTTCCTATAATTCGTCTACTTAAAAATGTCATTTCTGGAATAATTTAACAGGCACGATGGGAAGAACAATTGCTCTTCTCCAAATGTTTCTATATTCTACTTCAGGGAAACGTGAGGTCGGTTAATCCAAGAAGTTAAAGAAACGCGATAATTATGTACACAGCGATGTAACTAAGCAAGTTTTATTCAGTAACCATTCACATAATCATGAGTGGCAATTACAAAAGACACACAATCATGAAAGCACAAAGACGCCCCTGTCAGAATTATATGTTGTAAGTTACATGATGACGCAGTGTTTTAGTCGTCACTGAATCAGCTTTAAATATCCAACTGACAACATCACTCTCATTCTTCAAGGATTAAATAATATCTTAAAATTACACTACCCAGTCCACCTTCTCTCCTTCTATTGCCAGAAACTTTTCTAGGCCCCTGAGCAGTTTGGTGTTGTTGTTTTTAGGTCTTTACGGCGGTTTGTAAATAATCGAGTCTGGACCAGACAGTCCAGTCATTGACATTATGAGCATCGGTCCACGCAAATGTGATACATTGACATGCATCATCAAAGTCAGCGAGTCTGACCACACGATCCCGTTAGTCGCCCTTAAAAACAAGCATGGACCGCTGAACACCAATGCTAAAAAGGATCTTCACAGATGTCAAGACTGAGTAGTAATATAGTGGCAGGAACATGGCTTATAATACATAAATCATTACTGCAATCCACGAGTATTGATATGCAGATGCACATTGATTCTCTCAAGACGTATTTGAGTTATAACATATTTCATAACCGACACAATCAATAGAAGCCGCGGATGTTTGGATTAGTGGCGAACAAACATACAATCATGTTTGTCAAGCGGATTAGTAGTTATACTATTTTATGAGTAATCTCCCCAGAGGCTAACCAGGCAATTGAGTAAACAGGCACATAACTTTTAATTCCTTAATACTCGTAATCTACTCATCAATTACTTCTATTGTTTTAAATTACTTGAAAATACAAAGTGAGCAAAGTGATGTACATTTTAGTCGAGAGAACCACACGACATGTATGTTATTTCATTCGTCAGAGGCATATTAAGGGCATGATTCGAAATGCTATTTTTGTGGTGATGCGCAATTTTGGATTGTTCATAAGACATTTTATTTATATATTTAAGCATACACGTATATTTACTTTTCGTTTTATAAATAAATTGCTGAATGAGTTTCAATAAACATCCTCTGAACAATAATTATTTCCAAGGTAACGCAAAAACAATGTACTCTCTGAGTGTGCGTGCCACGTGCGTGCGGTGTGAGTATGTGTGTTTGAATAATGCAGGGTTGAAAGAGTACTCCTTGAAATACCCTTTCATCGAGTACCTTTACGGTTTTGACAATAGAAATTAAACATAATATAGCTTTGTATTTGTTGCAATGTATATCCCCGACAGTCATGTAATGTCAATGTTCCTGGTGTATGCTGTAGTAATTACTGATAGTTTACATTTGTCTGTGTGTTTGTCTGTTTGTTTGTTATTAGAGCCGTCAACCCCCGCAAGTTACCTTTCAAGCGACACGATTAGCGATAACCACCAGCCTAGCTGCCCCATGCGCAATGTTTACGTCTTCTCGAGTTACAATGAGGTTGCTAGCGATCGCGATCACTCAATCAATAAGTCCCCACAATGTTCCCTGTATTATCTTTCAGCATTTGAAAAACTTTGATGCGGCCCACAATAGCCTCTTTTCATAATGCGTCCTGCTTCGCGCTGTGCCGTGCATAGATCGCATAAATATCCTACATACAACCTGACGAGCAGCTGCTAACAGCCCCGGCGTTCCACCGTCATACGGTAAACTGTCCTTACTACGCGAAAGGCTTTGAAGCGAACAGGTTTCAATGCTGTATTATCCGAAGATTTACGCCGTGTATTATCGGTGTTGTCTGTTGGCAACACGAAAGTAGTATTGTAACAACGGCATTCGCGGATAAGTCAACACGACAACTGAGAATCCGACGACGAGGGCAGTCGACAGAGGCATCATGCCGACAGCGGATTGTTCCCGACAGCACGACGGCGGAGTGGATGACACCACCAAAAAACATGCCAATAACACAGCGACTCATCCAGGGTCAGCGGGAAGCCGAAAGGGTATCGTGAACGGTGACGCGGGAAATCTCCCAGATACGCAAATCTCTAACAAACCCGATTATGACAAGAAAGGCTCAAACGAGAACGTGTCTAAGAGTGATTTAGGACGAAGGTCTGCCAGTCCGGAAGCCAAATCCAGTCCCAGTAAATCAACAGGTAGACGGCAGGTTAGTTTTGAGAGTGGTGATCCGAGGAGAGCGGAAGACAAGGGGAAAGGACAAGCCAATGACACCCCGAAACACGGTAACCAACAGAAGGGAGGAGACCGCCCTGGATCGGGCTCCCAAACTGTCTACACTTTAAGGAATGAAGGAGAGATTGTAAACATCAGTACGACTGATCAACCTGGAACTGTAGGTGTTGAGGAGGATTCGGAGGAGGAGGAAGACGAATCGGAGGAGGATTCGGAGGAAGAATCAGAGGAGGAAACGGCATCTGAATCCGAGACAGAAGAAGATACTATGGACGGAAAAGAGGAAGGAGGTGTCAGTGGAGACAGTGGTATTGTGTTAAATCCCGACGAGAGACAGACTGACAGCGCAGTATCACAGCATGACGATCGTCCACAGACAGATAGTGCGGCATCACAGCATGAGCATCAGTTCTCTGCCAGCTCTGAAGCTTCATCTCCCGAGCATCAGTCACCTGTACGGCAGGGTCGAGGGGTCAACAAGGACTCTCTGGACCTGCAGAATGCAGCCTCAGCTATTCATGACATGCAGGACAACATTCAGGGATTACTGTGCCGTGCCAAGACCATTCTGGGAACTTACCACACGGAGTTGTCAGCAAAGCCTCTGAAGGATTTCGTGCTGGAAAAGGAGGATTTTCATGACAACTTTGTCGCCATCGGCAACATCTATTCAGAATGTGAACACGTGACGTCATCAATTAACAAACAGTTGAAGGAATTACGTCAAACTACCAATGAGATGTGCAGGCTCATCAACCGGAAGTTCAGAGAGGAGGACCTGGCATCATGGGTAGATGTAGCGGGTGATGAAGATGAGAGAGGTAAGTTGAATTGAGCAGGAGTTGGAACGAAGTTTTCTTTTTAAACTGTGTATTGGTCAACTTGTGGTGTTCTCTGTGATATGATAAACATCAATAACGATATTCTTAACTATAGAGATTTTAATTCAGAGAGCACTACCAATCCCCGTTACTAAGAACTGTTGTATAACTAGATACCACGTGTATTTAGTTATTGTCAAACACATTTCAGAACATCTCTCACTGTCAAAACCTTTCCTGTTTTAGAATAAGTTCTGAACGAATAACGACCTCTTACGAATTTGATATTAAGTAACATAACAACTAAATTTATACATACGAAATTGATAGTTTGTCAACAACATATATCATTAAAGTTGATATTTAGTCCATACTTAAATGGATAGTGGGAGAAATCCAAAAATGTATTACGAGTAACGAACTAAGGACATAACGAACACATTTCAACTGTTCATTTCTGAGTTCATTGTAACCTTGTTTTGCTGTAAATGGCGGTTGCAAGTGTCCTTTATTTCATTTATTTTCCCTATGCCACTGTGTATAAAAGATGTCGTCACGTACTCGGAGCCCCTCATGTGTCGAAAACCAGATAAGTCGAAGTGATACTAAGATCTCAAGCTATATATCTATTGAACTACGCTCACAGGAACTCGTTTATACGTATTACACACTAGTCGCTATCGTTGACGTTCGTGGCGTTAAGCGCTATCCCCGAATTCAGTATCGTCATAACAGAATGCCATAGAGAACAATCATGATTTCCCCCAAGACTTGTGTATTCTCGGTTCCTGTCACCAAGCTGATGATTTAAGGCAATCGTACCAGGTCGAGTTCTCCAACTCTCATAATATGTCTTCTAACAAGACATTCGGAAGCAATGTCTTAACTGCTACCTTGGCAATGCGACCTTGCACCAAACAAACACCGCAGGCGCAAGCAAATATAATTGGTTCAGATCACGAATCGTTCGCCCTGAAAACCCGATACGAAATATGCTGGGTCAATATATGCCCATATCTCTGATCAGCGGGAGGACTGTGAATCACATTCGCTGCTTAATGGAGCCTTGGATAAAGGAAAACATTGGGTCTATCAAGTTTCAGAAAAGTACATACTTTACTGTAAGGCCTTAATGTCCCACCACCCACTGTCATAGAGGGGATTAATGTGTAGGAGAGACGCATAGCCTGGGGTAGACTGTCATGTTTACATGTCAAGAAGAAGGACCATGACACATTTACTAATGAATTTACTAAATAATACAATTTACAATTCTAGTGAATCGAATAGGCGTCAGCGAGTGAGTGGGTTTGGTTTATTGTCGCCAAGAACAGTATTTTAATTATACCACACTGATAGGAAATAGGCCTCACATTTTTATCTTTATAGATAATTATCACGGAAAAGCTGGGATTAGAACCCACAACCAGCGGATACTGGCATCGCTAAGGGACGCAACTTTGCACAACAATGTGGGGCGCTTTAAACCACTGAGCCACCTGTAACTTCGAATAATATAGTAACATTGTATAAATTGTACTTACATGACATACCCGGTACGTACACGGATAGTCAACCGCAACCCAACTTCAGAGCATTTACTACGAGTAACAAACTTTCTTTACCTAGTACTTAATATCCGATTAGTTTTATTCATGGTTAAAATCTATTTGTAAGGGTTTCTTAAGGTTTCATGGTAATCATTTTCTTACATATATTTATCTCTATAAAAACGCTTTGTTGCCATAAAAATTTAGCTTAAGTATCACGATACATCCAGCGAACATGTTTATGTAATACTCTATGTATTCTTCCAATGCTTATCAAAATGCTTACAAGCTATAAAACTTCTATAGAACCATTATGCCTTCACACGAGCCTCCACTTGACATTTCCAACTACCTTGACATACGTATGTGTTCAACACAAGCATGTGCAGTTGCACAATAACCGCCCAAAATATACATACGCATTATCATAATCCTTCACTCGCTTTGTCGAAATGCTTTCACAAAGAAACCGTCATAACGTATCCATGCCTCAACACCTGAATAACATAAACACACGCTGAGCCTGTTTTTTTCTTCTTTTCGAATTTAACGACATAGTTATTATCAGTGGAACAGTGGTTCAAGGCAACATATATCAGAGTTGCGTCCCATGTACATGCCGGGATCCTCTTATAGTGTATCCGAATCCAACATTTTCCCTAATTGGGTCCTTACTGAGTATTATATCTGTGTGAGGTTTATCAAAGCAGTAATTATAAACGTCTACCACCTGTGTCACTTTACACATTCTTCACACTTCACACATTAAACCTACACGTATCGATAAACTGAAATGTTGACTGTTTAAAGTGTCGTGAAACCCAATTCACTCACTCACTTAGGCTTACATATTCAGGCGGGCCCTTTACTATACTAGTTACTAGATTTACGGTAGGTGGCGTCACTGACGCGTTGCATACAAGCTGCTACCAAAATCAGATTACCGTCATACGTGTGTAACTCGGAGTCGCTTTATTCTCTTCCATTGTGAGTGTTAATGACCCAACACACAAGAGTCTAAATACTCCACCAACAGTGTGTGGTTGCACCAGAGGCAACTAAGTAGATAAGGCAAAGCTATTTAAACCTTCAGCATTGTCCCTGTACTATAAGTAGATTTATATGGGTGGATTATCACCGGATAGTCTGTCTGCGTGTGTTTCAGCTAATCAACTCAAGTCGTACTTACATTCCAGTATATGTACGACAGTGACCTGTTTCACATGCAGAAACATGTCAACCATCTTGTAAATGTCCTGTGGTTGTATCTGGTGAACCAATTGTGTTTTACGTGCTTTATGGACGAGACAAATCAGTGGTTGATGGTTGACGCCATCGGGGTACGATCATGAATTTTAGTGGGGGTTATAGCTAGCTAAGGAAAATAGGTACCTATTTTTTCCCTTAAAATCATGATTGATATATATTTCATCTCGCCCTGGGTTTTCAGGTTGAACCTTTCTGGTTGTCTAGGGTGTGTAGTGAAAAACAGAAATATTATTCTTCACGGGTACGTATTCGTCAGCATGTTATATGTAGGTTTTCAAGTGTAACTTAAACTGTTTGAACATGTTTGAGTTGTTACAGAGTTACCAAATGATACAAATGAAAGGGTTTACTTTTAGCGACGTGTAATATCAGGGAATATCACACTGACAAGACACAATCGCATACAGGATATGTGGTATAACAAAATCCACAAATGACGATATGCAAATACTATCAACTACAGTTGTATACAAGATAAGTAGAAATGAAACTTAAAACGTTAAAACTATTTCACAATTTCTATTCTAATGATCAGTCTAAACATTTTCCATACACTTCTGTAAACTGAAAATAATATATGTAATATTAATGTATTTTAAAAGCTTCAAACGAAAAGAAACAAAATACTTCACACGTGGAAGAGTTGATGTGGATATGTTTACAGAAATATATTTACGAGGTCCCGGGTAATTCATTGACAGAGAAATAGTCGTATTCCGTTATCAGTCACGCACTTTGCCTATGATTTCCTTCAAGAACAGAAGCGTGCTGATATCGGGCTGACATATCACAACTATACCGAACACCCATGTCTTTCTACAATAGTAACCATATTTGTCAATATGTGGCTTTCCACTTCAGCGCACTCTCTCACAACACAAAAACAGTTAAAGCCTCACTGTTATAACTCTCCACCGCTTAAGTCAAAATGACAGCGTGTGTAACGAGGGATAAATAATACCGATAGACATGTAGGCTGAATAGGCTTTTGACTCCAGCCTAGCAACGTCGTGTGCAGATGTCACTCCTCTACCCAGCCGTCGTCACACTCTCGTGGATATAACACGTTAGTGACCCCTCTTCATGGCTGTCAACATTAAATCCGTTAGAGTTATCAAGTTTATGTCTGATAGAGAAGCTGTTCTACTTAACTCAAGTTTCTGTCCTTATTTCAGCTGAGTGTCTCAGCAGTTTGAAAAGAATATGTTAACCGATACAAAAAAACAATCAATGAAGCTGAAGTTCTGCATGAACACAGAATGATTTTCCTTGGCAGTACATAAATTTGAAATGTGAAATCATCATATTTAGTTTAATGCGTATATGTGGCACTAGTATATGTGTCGATCCTTAATAGCCACCTCTTAATATTCTTTTTTGTAAAGGTTGGTGTGTGGATGATCTTCAATTTCAATCTTCATTTGATAAACTATGGTCCACCTGCACCTCATCCAATTTGGTGACTTCATTGCGGCGAGTTTGACCCACGACAAGACTTCTCATATTCTTTATCTATTATGAATTTAACGCCCAAAAGCCTTCAGCTATAGTCATTTAATGTAGCCTACCAAGTTTGGTCAGCAGGAACACATATGTAGACATGGTTATGTATACTTTACCACGAGAAAGAATAAACGAACTATACAAGAGACAGCTTTAGAACCAAGTAAATTCCATCACGGTCATTAATGTATCATTTGATTAATATGAGACCATTATAAGAAACAAAATACGTATTTTGGGGGACTTAATACAAAACATTTTCAAAACTACAGTATTCATATACATTTGATGACAAGGCAAATAATAAATACCTCTTCTGCCACCTGCCAAACAAAAGATCGATAGACGCTGTGGAAAACATATACATATATGATAGAAATAGAATATAGCATTCAGCCAAGTGGTATATCCAAGGGAAAATATACTATTGATATGTCTATTAAGATATTTAAAAAGGATGCTATTAATAGAAGCTTACATTTTACCCGGCTTCATTTTATTTGCAGTTACAACATATCGTCCACAAGTTATGTTCAAATGAAATACCGTGTCATTTGAAAAACCCGTCATGGTAGCATTATAGTTTATTTTGACATATACAGTGTTTACAGTGCTGCAATACCCCACGGAGTATATTTAACATGATTCAAATTATTTTGAACGATGCCTGAATGGTTT